GAGAATTCATTTCTGGATCATTTCCATTGCAACCAAAAGAAAGAGTATTATTGAAATCTCTTGAATAGGGTGATTGTTGGAAGGAGTTCATTTCTGGGCCATTTCCAAAGCATTCAAAAGATATATTCTCACCCACGTGATGGAGATCTGAATGAAAATAAGGATTTTGTAGGCGTGGAAAAGTGCTTTGACACATTTGCAAGAACCGGGGCTCGAATCGTAGAAGCTTCTTAAGATGTTTGTCGAACGCACCTGGAGGAAATTTGAGAAAGTGCTTCCTGAGAAAAACATCAACTTGTAGTCAGAACTTAGAAACAATACTTCTAAAGAGCAGTTGTGTGATCAAGGTCAAAGTTGAAAGGAAATTGTGCACCAGAAAGAATAAAAATTTGCGTTTATATGTTTGATAGCTATAGTACTAATCAAGTTATCATTTTTCTTTGCAATAATTGAAAAGATGATTAGGAGATGTTTGGAAAGAAGAAGAGACGTTTGAAAAGATTAAAACGTCAATTGTTTAGTAGTTAAAAAGAAAGAATAAACATTAGGTTTAATATTGAGAAACAAACATATTATGTTTATTTTTACAAAGTGTAAGGAATCAACCGGAGCCGTCATTTATAGCATTGTTTAGAAAAAAAAAAAAATCCAGATACCATTAACATCAACACTTACAGACTCTTATAATAAGTAACAAATAAGGGGCCTTAGCAGTTGCCTTAATGGCCTTACACTTAAGTCCTACTAGACCCCATGTAATCTTATATCACAATATTAACAGAGTCTAATTTGTGTAAATCAATTATTTGGATTATTGGCTAAATGTTAAATCATAATCTTATATGAATGTTAAATCATTGAAATTATGTTAGAACTACCATATACCTGCAAATTGTGGCTTGACCATCAGTAAAATCTGCAATATGTTTCCAACGAGAATGCTTTTTGGGCTCTGGATCTGTTTCCCCGAAGAACATAGGCTGCTGGTTTAACTGCAAAAAACACCAATCACATTAAAATTAAAAATAAAAAAAATAAATCTGACAGAAATCTCAGCACCCATTAACGAAATTTACCTCAACTTCAAGAATCCCAGGTTGATACTCTATAATAACAACTCTCATTGACAGAATATACTCCCACTGTATTTCAATCTTTTTCTTCAAGCCATTCTCCAAAATCTCCCACACAAATCTTCTTTTGGAGAAGTAACATTTTGCCACCACATCCTCTTCGTTTCTAGAGACTCTCTACACAGTAAAAAGATTTGCAGTAAGTTATAAGATTATTCCTTCATCTTTACATTTGTTTGAGTATTTGAAGAGTTTTGTATGTTTTTATTACCTGCCATGAGCCGATTTTCAGCAAAAACGTGACGATTTTTGAAGCCTTTCGGGCCTCCTTCTCCGGCAAGGATTTGAGGTCGCTATGACCAATCTGAGTAGCCAAGTTGCCCCTCTGCTTATGGGATATCTTCTCTTGATTAGAGTCCATGAAAAATTTTGCTTTGTCAAGTTTCAAACCAAGAGGAGGTAATTTCTTGAGAACTTCGGCAAATTTATCCTACAAAAGAACATTACAAAAATAACATTAATTTTTTTTTTTTGATATACTTATTTATAAAAATAATGAATAAAAACTCAGAAGTGTTGAATGAAACGGAAAAAGAACATGCACATATAATGAGGAAAATCCACTCTGTAAGACACTCTAATCATACTAAAATGGAAAACAGAGGAATTATACCAAAACCTTGTTATGTATACATACATATCCGAAATAAAAAGAAAACGAAAAAACTATCAGGAAAATTTGAACAAAAAAAAAAAAAAAGAGGCAAACAGACACTAATGCGCACAAGTATAACGAGAAGAGGAAAAATAATAAAGAAGCGAATAAATAAACATACCATGATTATAATCCATTTAAATACCAAATCAACAAAACGAAAAATCAACATTCTTGATTTGTTTTGTTAAGCACTTATTAATTAATGTCTTTTAAGGAGGCATTGAGCCAAAAAAGGAAAATTTTGTAAATGAAACTGTCATTTTCTCAAAAAACAAAAAAACAAAACAAAACTCTCTCTCACTCCGAAGCTTAAGGTCAATTCTTGTGAACGAGGACAAAAACCAAGGAAAAAAAGAAAGAAAGAAAGATTAAAAGCTTCTTGCTTCTTGCATTACGGAACTAACTCTCAGAGAACAATAAAAAGAGACGTGAAGAAATCATTGAAGAAACGAAAACAGATAAAAAGACAGAGAGAATTTAAAACCTCCGTCAAGTATTCTCTAGGGTTTTGCATGAACATGTTGCTTTCAGCTTGTGACGTAGGAATCCCAGAAACAGAATAAATTTTCTCTGAATTCAAGAACTTGTCGTCTTGCGAGTGCTGAACATTCTCTGGAGCACACGATTGAACCATGTTTGCTATGTACATTTTAGGTCTCATGAAAATTTCTCAAGAAAGAAACTTATAGGAAACATTAGTAAGTTTCTCTGAATATAATGGTTCTTGGAGCAAAATATATACCCTATATATGTGTGTACATATACATATATATATATATATATATATATACACACACGCACACACACTCGTACGTGACCGTCTTTCTTTCTTTTTAGATGGACTATTGTAAGTGACCTAGGACTGACAGAAATAAATGGAGAAAATAAAAGCAGAGCATTTTTCACCAATGACGTTTCGGAAATATACTGTCCTACTTTGACCCCAATATTTATTTTAGTTTTTTTGAAGGTACCCCAATATTTTTTTTCAGTTATTCTATGGTTCAACAGTCAAATAATAAATGAAAACTTACATGTGACATTGACATACGACCTCAAGAATTAAACAGGTTTAATTATGTTAATTGTGATTTATTAGTGTGCCTAATTTAATTTTCTTAATCAATTAAGAACTTTTAATTATTTTCAGTATTTACAATTTTCACCCCTTTTCTTTTAGTTATCTTTTAATATTGTCTTTTTTTTTTATACTTTCCTTTCCTTTCTTTTCATTATTTCTCTCTCAGACTCCCTCAGATCTCTCTCTCCTTCTCATTTCACTCTCTCACCTGAGCTCTCTCTTCCTCACTCGTCCCTCTCTTCTCTCATTTTTCTCTCAAATTGTCTCTCTCGCTTCTCTAAGCGGATTTGAACAAAAAGGGAGATTTTCATGAAGTTTTCAACCCTAAAAAAAAGATCAAGGTAAATATTTGAAAACACACTCTTAATCTTGGGTTTTTTTTCTTGGTGATCTAGTTTTTGGTTTGAATTTTGATGAATATTGGTTTAGATTTGATTTTGAATGAAACCATGTTAGAATTTGGGGGGTTTTGATTCTTTGGAACCCATTTGATAATTGGAACCTAGTTTTGTTAATTTCTCTTGAAAATATCTTGAAATCGAACCCAAAATTGCAAGTTTTGGTGATTTTCTTCGCGATTCGGCCATTTTTCTCGGCCCGATAGAACCCCACCGGTCGACTGCTCTGGTCGACCTGTCATCACTCCACCGGCCGACCGGTGGAGTAACACTTCTCTGCCATCGGTCGACTGGTGTGCACTTTCCCCAACTCAAAACAATTCAAAAACCTTGATTTCGACCCGAATTTCAATGTAGAACCAACCTAACTTCATTTGGGAACTCAATGTGAGTGGATTAGCAACGTTGATCCTTGTTTCCATTCCATTTCTCTTGGTCGATTTCTAATTCTCAAAGAATCACGAATTGAATTAAGAAATTGTTTATGAACTTTGATTTTGAATCAAGGAACACTAGTATGATACAATTGAACATAATTAAGCTAGATTATTTAGAGATAAGGATTAAACTCGAAACCGTGGTTTTTGATGACAAAGCTAGCGGCACGATTGGACTTGGAACTTCAAAGACAAGTGGAACTAGGACTACCTGAAGTTATCCATAGAATTGACATTCGAGAGGTAGGATATCCTTGTCCATATCTTTGTTAGCTAGTTTTAAATGATTTCGGCTTATGAAAATGTTTTAAAGATAAAAACGTATTTGAAATTATTGAAAACTAAAGAAAAGTTTTATATGATATTTTTCTTAAAAGAGATATTTTAAGAAATGGTAACAACACTGATGGCCTACAAATCAGGATATGGAGATCGTATCCTTAGGGGCAGGACCCGAAATCTGGACAGGCCACTACGGTGGTGTTTGACCTTGCATTGGTCGTAAGTAATTTATCATTAAAGTACTTGCTGTTGCTTAAAACCGGTAATTTAAGTTTATTTTCCTTTCAGAAAAATGTTGTTTGGTTCTGAATGATTATTTCGGGCCTGTATTTTCATTTATTTATTCATTCTTTTAAAAATTATATCCTATTGGGCCTTTCGTTCATCTTTCTCTTGTTTGAAATGTAATTTAACCTCTTTCAGACGACGCTAGAAGTAGCACTGAATAGGTGGGTTCAACGGTGAGAAAATTCCATTCAAGAAGGAAGCGGTGTAGTATTGCCTTCATTTTCGTATTCATTCAAGGGATGTACAAACTTTATAGATTGTAAACCTTAAATTCTACTAGACTGTGGTTGATGTCAGTTATTTATATTTATGTATTTGTTTATGTATGCACAATCTGAAAGCCCTGTGGATGCTGGAAGCTGACTTTTGAAATTAGTTCAACTCTGATTGTAATTTTATAAAGTCTGCCTCACTCTTTTTAAAACCTAATTTTCTTAAAATAGTAGAGTTTGTTTAGAAATTCTTATATATATATATACTATATTTGACTTTGACTTATGCTTAACTACTTTCTTAATCCCTATTTTATTTATTAACAAACCTCCACGTCACCAACCCATGTTTAGGGGCATGACATGACATGACTATTTTAAGTGTATTTTTAGTAAAACATAAATAATTTAAAAGAAACATAAAATTAAAAAGATCTTCTGTGAAAAAAATAATAATTAAAATAGGATAAAAATTATTTAAAAAATTAAACAATGATTTGATTGAGGGAGAGAAAGGGTGGTTGGTAGGGCTAGCTGACAGGAGTGGCGCAAGGCGAGGCAGTGGCAAGGAAGGGGTTGGGGAGGGGCGGAGCCAACTAAGGCCAAGGAGAGGGGGTTCTCACACTTCTCCCCCAACAAAACCTTTTCTTTACTATTTTTCTTCTAGTTTGCACCTTGAAAATTTTTTATTGCAATATCTATATAATTTTTTTATTTTGAAAAAAAAAAGTTCCAACGCACCCGGTGTTTTTACTTTTAAGTATACCATATGTATTTCAAAATTAAAACCTCAAATAAATCAAAATTCAACTATGAAACTATATAAATGAATAATTTTTGGCTCTTGGAAAATACACACACGGAGAATATTTTTGGTTTACTCAAAAATTTCAAATGTGTATCAAATTACACCCCAGACCGGTCAACGTTCAAAATGGACTACTGAAAATGCCAAAGTATGTGTGAAGGGGAAAAGTGAAAAAAAAAAAAAAAAAAAGAAGAAGAAAAATTGAAAAAAAATCAAAAAATTAGAAAGAAAAAAAAATCAAATCACATACCGTTTATTTTTTTTCTCTATAACGAAAGTTTTTTCATTTGGAAAACGAATTTTGTTTTTTATGTTTTATATTTTCTCATTGAGTCTTTTCATCACTAAATTAGTCGATATTAAGCGCGGACTATTGCAGGATATGAATTGGTTATAAACTTTAAATGATGAGGTCCAAAATATATGATATATTTTCTGAATAAACTCAATATAGAGGGTAGTTTTCTTTGAGATCCTATTCATTGGTCCTCTAAACAATATATTGTCCTTTAATTCTCTTTGGTCAAAAGTTGGTTATCTATATATACTTAATTTGATATTTTTGTACCTGATATTTTTTTTGAAGCATTGTACCCGATATTAGTAATTAGAATACAAATAAATAAAATAAGATATTTTATCTGAAGCACACCCTAAACCCTCCTTAATAATCTAAAGTCCAAAAATCCAAAAGCACCCTTTTAAAATTGACAACTTAATTGGAATTCCTAACACACCAATATCAACATTTTAGCAGGGTATATGGATAATGTTATTCATTTTAGTGTCGAACAATGACTTCTTGTAGTTGCACATGATGAATGCACCTATATTTAAGATAAGACAATCACAATTAGGCACGTGATTAGTGAAAAACAAGTAACATATATGGATTATAGTTAAAGCTTATAATGCATGCTCCACTATACTCATTAGGTTATTTGTCAACAAAAAAGAGGTCAAGAGAATGATTTCATATAGTGGTGGGTGATGTATGAAATTGTGCTTGAAAAGATCAATTGAGGTATGGTTACAAAGGTTTACTTGCTATCTTTTCGATGTCAACATGAAAATTCCAAAATTTGATGATTAATCATTGGACCCATCACTAACTTTTAATTATTAGGATGTGATGTAAGGCAAAGATAATTTCTAGGGAAGTATATGTATGAATGGGCACGCTTCCATGGACTTGTACAAAGTAACAAAATTGCTCCTTTTTTTTTTCCCCCTAAATTAAACGGATTGGTAGTAGGACTTGATAATTGACAGATCTATGCTTCTTATCAAAAATAAGTGGACTATCCACAATATTGGGTTCTACTCACTTAAGTGCATTGATCATGACAAGTTGACAATTCTTTTTCTTTTTCGTTTTCTTTTCTTTTTTCTCTTTGTTTGGAACAGCTTGACAATTTGGGAAATGCTCAAATGATCATATATTTCGGCAGCCTCCGGAGGCTAATAAGGCGTTCTCATTTGAAACATGTTAGAAACAAGAAAAACAAGAGAAGTACTATAAATACATCTGAGCACATGTAATGTTTTAGTCATGGTTGTACTTTTATAGCTAAGTTGGTATTTTCAGTTGGTGATCAACGTTACGGGAAAAAAAATCCAAATTTTATGATAAAAGTGCATATATAGACGAGATTTCAATGGTTACGTCTTTATTAGTCACTTCTAAATATAAAAATTTGATGATGTGTTAAGATAAGAATTTAATTTCATTAAATTGTCATTGATTTTTTTAGTCAACTATTCAATTTATTACAACTGTCATATCAATATTTTGTGGCTAAAATAATAATACCTATTGAGGGGTAAATATTTGAATAACCATTAAAACCATATATATATAAGTAATTATTAATAGGGTTATATTTTAAACTACAGGTTGATTTTATATTTTTTTTTTATTTCAATTTGATTTTAATTATATTCAACATTTGAAAACATGCACTATTGTTAGGGTTCTTATTGTAGGAAGCTCCGCGGAAAAAATGCA